AACAAATACCCAAGGACAAAAACTATGATGAAATATATGAATTTTTCAACATATAAAACTGGATGAAAATATTCTGAAGAGACAAGACCCAGTCAGAAGTAATTAAAATATGAAAGGTGGGACAAGTTTGGAAGTGATTCAATCAGAAAAGATCTTGTGAAGTAAAGCTAAATGCACAGATCTGATCTGTCTCAGGGAAACAGTACAGCTAGCATCCAGCTTCCTGTTTCTCATGAAAATGTGTCAAAGTTTAAAGGCTTGGGAGGAAGAGAGCAGCAGGCACGTCTCCCATTGGGTGGCAAGGAAAATAAGAAGCTTTGTAAACCATGTGTCACCAGTCTCACCAGTAAAAACACAACAAACATTTACACTTTGGATGTCAGTCAACCGAACCAACTTTAGATTTCTTACATTTAGTCGACTAAAACGAAAACAATTTAGATGCCCAAATTATTATTTAAATCGAAGTTTCCTGTAAAAATTAACACTGCGACCAACTGGGCGGTTCAAGCCTACAACCTTCTTCCCGTGATGGCTGAGGTCATTCTTTAAATATTTGAACACAGGCACCATTTTAGGCAAAAAGAGTTTCCTCAGCTTTGTCCTATTACAAAATAAGCTCCAAATTATGAGCCTGAGGGTGTGCTCGCGTCAGGCATTCCACACTGTGCCTGAGCATGCCTGCAAAAACAGCATAGTTGGACACATGTAGCATGACTGGTGAGGAACTCTACCCTAACGACAGCCAGCACATGTACAGAGAGGGCAAAAGTCATCACCTCCAAAGATGATGACCACAAAAATGTATAAAAAGATTAACCTTGTCATAGTCTGTAGGAGCACTTTACAAGAGAAGAGTATGTGAGAGGAGAGGGTACATCCTCAAACAACTGTTAAAAAAGTCATTTAAAATAATTTTTTAAAAAAAACCATAAAAATCAAGTGTTATAAGTCAGATTTGAATCCACCTGAGAAGGCGTTTTCACAGCGAGTAAACAGTTTTGTGTCGCTTTCCGTCTGTAGTTGAGTCAGCAGCTTCGACACAAGCACGGAGTGGAAGAGATCTCCAAGCTTTGGCCAGTCACGATGAAACGGGTCAGTGTGTGGAGCTCTCTTCGTTGTGTACTCTGCACAAAGCTTGCCTTCTTTCTTTGACTGCCTTTGTGCTCACAGCTACTTACATAGAAATCAGTCGTGGGTCAGCATTCAAAGGCTAAAGGGTTTGTGCTACATTTGAGATAATGACATGAAAATAAACAGGGCTGACTACGACACAGCGCTGCATGATGATACATGTACTGCTGCGTGAAGCCACAAGTCTACAGACTAGAGCACACTGAGGTATGACATCTCAAAGTCCAAAACGACTGAAAATCTTTGCCTAAAATGAATCAAATGAGGGCAAAATGCAAAAAAAATCTTATGTTTTTAATTAGTCTTATGCTCAAAAGACAAATTCCTTTATATTAATCCTTATTACCAGTGTGGAGAACATTTTACGCACATGTGAGAAGTCAGAATATGTTTACATATGTGAGCCTTTATCCCACAGGATTCAACATAAACAGCAGGTCCAATGTTGGGTAAATACACTGGCCAGGTGCTGAGAGTGACGGTGTTTCCAACAGTCAAGTTCAGCCAGGAACCGACTGAAATGAAACATAACTAATGACTATTATTTTTCTGGTTTTCACATGAGTAAACAGAAGTTCAAATAAAAGCTTTAAATTCGGTGAATTTCCTGTAACCTTTGTTGCAAGTTGACAGCGATACCCACAAATGCAGGGAGAGTCTAAAGAGGCATGATATAGATTTTGAATACAACCAAAATCCACTGATGCATTAGGCTATTTTCTTACAGACTCAGGATTATATAAAGAAAGTGATGCAAGATTCAAACACCTGCTGATTCTTCACATCAGTAGAAACATATGCAACATTGAAGTCACATCCTTCATGTGCATCATTATTTACATAGAGCAGCACTACTGTGATTTGCATAAGAACAACAACACCTCAAGTTCACAGAGCTGAAAACATCCCATCTTCTCTCAAAGACAAACTAAACAGGTCACAAACACTGATTTATTTCTAACTGAAAAATGTAGATATTATTTAAATAAACACAAAAGAAAACGTCCTGTAATCTAGAAATAGTCACATTTTTAAGGAGACTAGAAGTGCAGCAACGACCACACCTCACCTCCACCCATTACTAATCAAACCTAAACTACAACCAAACGTATACAACTAATCCTAAAGCTCTACAAACTATGAGGGAAGTTACACTATTATCCGAAACACAGAGGGCGAAACACCTGAAACTTACCTCCATTCTCATGAAGGATTCCAGATTATCAGAGGACTGAGACCAAAAGGGACCAGAGTGAGAAAACAAAAAGTCATGAGGAAGGGATTACACCACGTCTGGTTAGAAACAGGCGCTTTCAGCAGCTTTAAATCTGCAACAGATTTAAACCTCTTTTCACTGCATGATCACAGGTTCAGCTTCCACATTCAGGGAGTTTTAGATTTGCAATTTAAGAAATTTGCATCATTTCTTCTTCTTAAGGTTATGAACCTTTCTTGCAGCAGGAAAAGCAC